GACAATTTTTGCTGAAGTGGGCCTGGAGCTCCACTGTGCTGGAACAACTGCAGGAACATCAGAAAAGTTCTAATAAGGTATCATTTAAAAATATTCCATACATATAACTATTCAAGCAACTGTATGGGTTTCTGCTAAGTACTTGTGTACCATGCCAGCATAAATATTGCAGTCAAAAGTCATTAATCCGGACTCGTCGGGACTTCGGCGATTCCGGATTATCGATTTTTCCGGATTATAGATCATCAGTTTAAATCTGGTAAGATGGCATGCAGAAATTATAAAATTAAAACTATGAAACCGTAATTAATGAAATAAAGAACAATTATGATCTAAAGGGTATCAAAATTTACAAAAAAAAAAAAAAAAAAAAAAAAGCTTAATATTTATTTGTTTACTTCATTGAACATTTCTTTCAATGTAAGTTGTTTCGTTTTTTATGTGATAATACATTCTCTTTAATTCTATAAACAGACAGAATTTTTTGTTCAGTTACAAAGTTCCGCTGTTCGAGTCCTATATTGCTGTGTCTACCGACTAATTTGTCAATCGAAATTTTTTCGTTTTCAATAACCTCTGTCACTTTCTTTGCTATCGGAAGCGAATTATAATGACGAGGAATTTGATTTAAATCATATCAAAGACGGAGTACATCGAGATGAAATACTACATTTAGTAAGGAATTATAAGCCAAATAAAATAAAAATATCTGCCTTGAAGATAAGGATAGTGCTGTCAGATCAACTTCCAATTCATTGCGCTCCGCGGCGTTAAAAGTTTAGATAAACAAACGTTAAAGTTTAGATAAACAAAGGATATGCCTCTATCCATTTTTTGCAGCAATTCCACTTTTTGTTTAATGAACTTCGAAATATACTTTCGCTTTGTAGATCCTTTACATATTAATAAATATATATCAGAAATTCTATTTGACATAATCGAAAGTTCAAGCTTACTTTTATAAAATTGCTCTAACAGTCTGAAAAAAATAATAAGCTGGATCCAATTCGAAGATTAAGGAACAACGCAATCTGCAACATTAACTGAAATAGATAATTAGATAATTTTAGCTTAGCTTATACCATCCGTTATACATTAAATGCGCACTCGTAAACATATTTTGCGCACGCGCACAAGCATATTCGCAGCTGTAAAGCTACAAACTTCAAAGCGACGCATGCGCAGAAAGTTTGTAGCTTTGAGGTCCGGATTATAGATCATTCCGAATTATGGGTGTCCAAATTAACAACTTTTGACTGTAATGAAGAATCATTCCTGGTAGGCACTTGAATTCATGTCATGTAAATTATCATTTATCTAAAAGTGAGAATTGTGGGTGTTAACATATCAGGACATGCTAATGCTGCCTCATCAGTAAATCTTATTAGATGTAGTGCTGTGGTGGAGCATGGGTTCTGTAACCTTCACATCTTGAAGTATTTCTGGAAGACAGTGGTGTACCAGTTACCTGTTACTGTTGTCTGTCCTTTCAGCTTCCCCTCCCCGGGGGTTGACTAAGGCAAACGCCTGGAAAGTACTGGTTAGGATCTGTAAGGTAAGATCTGCCTGGAAAGTACTGGTTAGGTGTACTGGTTAGGGCAGTCTCAACCATGGGGGGTATGTAATTTGATTTCACAGTACTAAAGCCCGAGTATTGTACTCAGGTTGGTTCAGGCTCAGCAGGGACCATACTGGTACTGTTGTGTCTGTTCCTTTGGTTGTGGTGGAGCTATATCGGAGATCATTGACTAAGTCCCCGGGGGTTTGACCCCATTCAGTTCTCGTGGCGGGGACTGACAGAGTAAACAGAGCACCCACTAACAATGGAATTTTTGCCAATGGAGTGGTGCGTGGAGGTAAGGTGACAGAGTTCTTAAATTTGCAACAATTTAGTTTTGCCCTATGCTTTGTAAAAGCCACGCAGCAACTGCGGGGGTTGCGCCCGCGAGGACGAGGTTCCACGGACGACAGATATTCCAAACTCTGTATAGGTCCCATAGAATATAGGACCTGGTCGGATGTCCTTCGTCTGGTGTGTCTGTCCTTTCAGCTTGATAGCTTTGAGTAATCTTAAAAAGTAAATCTGAAAAAGAAAAGGCATACATTACTTATTCATGGCACGTTGTCTTTTCACCATTGTGGGTGTGGGATTATCTTCAAAGACTCCATACTTTACTTTCTTGTCATGTTGGAACACCAAAAAATGATATCTATGTATCAAGTCCAGTTACGATTTTAGAAATAATGCAGTGACCACCATTTTTAAGTAATTTAAGATCTTTATTGATTTTGATATATTCCTCTTTTTGGTGCTCAGTTAAATTATGGGGAACCCAATGACAAACTAGTTTTTTCATATGATATTCTTCATGAATAATTTTATGTGTAATGGAAGATCTAATATTGTTAAGTTGCTTCTATATTATTTGATAGGTGGAGTGATTATCATTAATTAACATTTTCTGTATGCTAGACACATTATCTGGGATTACTGCTTATAACGGCCTTTCTGTGTGTTACTCATCCTGAAGAGAGTTGTAACCTCTTTGAAATTCTGTAAATGATCTGAATACAGTAACATGAGATGCACCTTCATTTTTAAATGCTAGTTGTAGATCATTTTAAAATCATAGAAAATGATAATATGATAATGTTCTCAACTTCCTTTTTCCTTCTGCCTAAAATTTATTCTGTGCTAAGCTACTTGCATTTGGGTTATAAAAAAACATCTGCTAGGTTAAAATAATTCATGTTTTCAAATCTAACTGTTAATTTATTTTTCTGCCATTTATCTGGGATTATCTCAAAAATTTCACAGTGACCTATGTAGTTGGTTAGCTAACTAGCTCACACCCAAAACCTGGCCAACAAATATTGTGCCTGTAGTAGTATCATCCTCAAAAGTGCATTTTATAATTTGTTCCACTGCGTGAGTCTTGTAATATCTTTCCTTGCCCTCATTATGAAATGATTTGCTCTTGCACAGTCCAGACGTCCATAATCCAGAATGATCTGTAATCCGGACCTCAAAGCTACAAACTTTATGCGCATGTGCATAATGCGTTTACGAATGCATGTTTAATGTATAACGAACGGTATAAGGTAGGCTAAAGTTATCTAAGGCATTTCAGTTAATTTTGCAGATTGTGTTCTTTAATCTTCTAATTGGATCCGGCATATTATTTTTTTCAGACTGTTAAAATAATTTTATAAAAATGAAGCTTGAACTTTCGATTATGTCAAAAACAGTTTCCAATTCTGGAGCTGCCAAAGGATATACAAAGCAAAAGCATATTTCGATGTCCATTAAACAAAAAGTGGAATTGCTTCAAAAAATGGATAAAGGCCTATCTTTCTCAAAATTATGCGAGAAATATGGCATTGGGAAGTCCGCTATATATGACACAAGAAAAGGAACTTTTTGAATTTTTGTGGAAGCATGTTAAACAATTTACATTGAAAGAAATGTTTAATAAAGTAAACAAATAAATATTAAGCTCTTTTTTTTTTTTTTTTTTTTTTTTTGTAAATTTTGATACCCTTTAGTTCATAATTGTTCTTTATTTCATAAATTACGATTTCATATTTTTAATTGTATAATTTCTGCATGCCATCTTACCAGATTTAAATTGATGATCTATAATCCGGAATCGCCAAAGACCTTCCAATAGTGAAGAAAATGACAAAGGTTATTGAAAACGAAAAAATTTCGATTGACAAATTATTCGGTATTCTCGACACAGCAATTATAGGACTTGAACAGTGGAACTTTGTAAGTGAAGAAGAAATTATGTCTGTTTATAGAATTAAAAATAATGTATTATCACATAAAAAACGAAGCAACTTAAACAACTTACATTGAAAGAAATGTTTAATAAAGTAAATAAATACTAAGCTTTTTTTTTTTTTTTTTTTGTAAATTTTGATACCCTTTAGATCATAATTGTTCTTTATTTCATAAATAACGGTTTCATATTTTTAACTTTATAATTTCTGCATGCCATCTTACCAGATTTAAACTGATGATCTATAATCCGGAATCACCGAAGTCCCGATGAGTCTGGATTAACGACTTTTGACTGTACATATATAATGATGTAAATGGAACTAAAACTCAATCAGCCAATAATAATTTTACAGCAAAATGCTTTGAAAACCAAAGCTAACTCAGTGACTTAAGATTTCATCCTGAACATTACGCACTTGCTTTCAACGCTTTGGCCTAGCTAGACTGCTGTCTGTCTGCTGCTGCTTTCTTGCTACAAAGTTATCAAAAAATGTAAGCCTTTTGGAATAGGCACACTTAGTGTGTCAACTTGCGTGTAGCGGAAAATAAAACTGAAGATTTAATCTGCCTTCGCCTCCAGTTTCCTAGTCATTATGGATCAACACATTCCTGAATTTATTACATATATATATACATATAATATGATTTTTTAAAGCAGTTGAATTGGTAATGCAAGTAACAAAAAATTCATACAACTGTTGATGATGTCTGACTGAGCATAGCCATACCATCCAAGGCAACTTCTCAATTATCATCGGCTATGCTCTTGTCACAGTCACACCACCCACTTACCCCACCGGAGTACAATACTGAATCAGGAAAATATTTTTTCCTCTTTTATTATGTACGTGTTATTTTACCTATTTCTTGCAGACTTTAGGTATCCAGGGAACCCTGGTTGGGAAACACTGCATTACAATTTTTTTTTTTTTTTTTTTTTTTTTTTGGTAGCACAGATTTTACACAAAAATTTTAAAAAATTGAGAATTTGTTCTTTATGGTAGAGTAATTTAATTAGTTGTAGGGATCTGTCTATAAATTCCATATTGAAAATTACCTTTTTCTTAATCTTTAGTATTTCATCTCATCATTTTATTTCTTAACTTATGAATAAATTACTTGTTCGTGTATTTGTTTTTCAATGAGTTAAATGTGTAGAAAAGTAAAAAGGACTAATATTATAAGATATCGATGCAATTTTTTTACTTTCTAGCTTGCATCTTCACCAGAACTTCTGAAACAGCCTTTTTGGTATAGAGTTTATTATATGACCCCATCTTTTTTCAACTTCCGAATGCGAATTTATGCTGGCTTTATCCTTGGAGAGTGTGTATGTATTGCCATGGGTTTAGGTGCATATCCCAAATCTAGTAATCCCTTGCCTGGAGCTGGGCCTACTAATTATGCAGCATTAGAAGAACTGTAAGATATTGTTTTATGTTTCCTTTATTATAAATTTTCAGTTACATGAATTAAGTAATTAAATATATAATTCAGGAGGCTTGAATAATTCATTTAATTGGTCTCAATGTGCATTGTGATAGCATCCTTTCATATGTTATTATTATATCCTTATTATATCTTACAATTTTTTCTATATTATCTAAAAACAGTAGTAGAATGGAGCTTTATTAGCACTTGTTTACTTTGGGTAAAACTAACCTGAAATTAGAGGGAAGCCTAAAAAATGGAACACAAAGTAAGGGAAGCATATATTAGCTAAAAATCGATTTCACTAAAATTATTTTGGATTAAAAAAAATCTAAGGCAGTTTAAATGTATATATTAATACAGAAACTAATAAATAAAATAATAAGGAATTTGATCATTACAATTTTTTCCCATTGCTTACACATATTCTTCACCAATAGAATTATTTCAGTCTAATTCATGTGTCAAGCCATGTTTTAACAATCATATTAGCCCTTTTTTCCATTCCAATTTAAAAGTTCCTCCTTGAAGCTTATGAATTTTCAAGTCAAAAGAAGATTCCTTAACATCAGATGGAAACTGAATTTTATGTTAATTGCATTGTAATTGCTACCCTGTTTAGAATCAGATAAAGTTGAAGGTGAAGGACAATATTACACTGTCATTATGTATATCATATTTTTTAAATGTATAAGATTGATGCTAACTAAACTTTTTTCTTTAAACAGTTATCTCAGGTATATTTAACTTTATTTGAAATTTTCCAAATTCAATGCCCTATTTAGCATATTCCGATATTTTTATTAATCTATATACAGTACAAAGTCTGCGATTCGGACACGTCAGGACTTCTGCGATTCTGACTTTGGGATTTTTCCGGATATTAGATCATCATATATTATTGATTACAGATCATCATAGATCATTCATGTATCATCATAATTAGATCATCCGGATATAGAAATTATAAAATTAAAAATATGAAATCGCAATTTATGAAATAATGAAACATTTATGATCTAAAGGATATCAAAATTTACAAAAAAAAAAAAAAAAAAAAAAAAAAAAAAAAAGCTGAATATTTATTTGTTTACCTTATTTAAACATTTCTTTCATTATAAGTTGTTTAAGTTGCTTCGTTTTTTTTTTTTTTTTTTTTTGTGCTAATACTTTTTCTTTAATTCTGTGAACAGACATGATTTCTTGTTTAGTTACATAGTTGAAGTCCTGTAATTGGTGTGTGGAGAAATCCGACTAATTTATTAATCGAATTGAAATTTTTTTGTTTTCAGTAACCTTTCTGTAACTTTCTTCACTATCGGTAGCGGTATTTTCTGGATCTAGAACCATACTATAGATTTGATTGAGGAGCATTGTCATCTCAATGAAAAACTTTTTATATCATCTTCATGTATTACTTCTCCTCCACATTTCTGTACAAAATCCGTTAATAGGAAAATTTGACCTTTGGTTTGCGATATCAGAAAACCTTTAAAATTCACGGCTATCATCATAAAATTTAGCTATCGTTCACTATACATATTTGGCTATTTATCATGAGATTGGGGACTAAAGACAAGTTGTTTCCCTAAATTTTATCTTGCTTCTATCGCGCACTGTGGCAATTGCGCTTGAATTGTGTTTAGTTATTCATTATACTTATATCTATTTATTGCACATGTTTAAGGCTTATATAAGTCCTGAATAAATAAATTCCCACTTATACTTAAGGCGTATGGAGGGCCGGTGCTATATACTTTACTGACTGATGCAGTCTCTGTGAGTCCTATTCTGCTACTAAGCGTTCTTTGTCTTCCTTAAATTTAGCTGCGCGTTGCGGCCATATGAGCCCTGGTGCTGGTTCTGGGTGTATGTGAATAGGAAATCAGTTATTCGTAATTCAGAGAGCACTATGAGTAATCTTTTGGCCTATGAGTATCATTAACAAAATCCATTTTTAGCATATGAAAAGAAATTTATTTTTCCTCGTTAACATTTCTTAGCACATTTAACTTAAATCTCTAATCATTGCCAAGCATAATGTTAACATAAAAGCTTACCATATTCTTCATTATTCAATTACTAGCATAAAAAAAATTGCTTAGGCATCGCTATATGAGTCATTATTCAAGCTGTCATGTGTTGATAAACATGCGGCGATAAAAGCAAAATATAATAAATAATGATTCGCCAGGTTGGCTTCAAAGATATGAAATATTAGTAAAAGTAAATTCAACGATGTATCTATGTGGATAAATTTTGGTTTCAGATGTAAGCGAAGCAAGCAATTTGGTAGCTACAAAGCCAAATTATTGATGATACAAATTTATGCTAAAATGATTGTTTTTTCAGTAATGAGGTATTTTATTTAGTGCCAAAGTGAAAATAAGAATTGGGACTCTCCACATGTTTTATTTTGCGAGGGGAGATAAAATGCGCACGCGTAAAGCATACGTGGCTTTTAGGTCTGGATTTTAGATCATTCTGGATATTGGATGCTTGGATCTTGGACTTTTTTTTTACTTGCATTTATTGCTAATTCAAAAGCCACCAAATGCTCCATATAATGAAAATTGTTTGTTTGTTTGAATGTGTGTGTGTGTATGTTTTCCTAATACTGTTATACGCTAAAAGAAAAATGGAAAAAAATCAGGTTCATGTAAAAAAACGTAGATAGTTATTCTTGTATTTCATTATTTAAACAATTTTTTTTAATTTTATGCTTAATTTTTTTAATATTAAAATGTTTTTAGTAAACAGTTTGCTTTTTATTTAAAGTACTTTTTTTGTATTATTGAAAAGTTAGCAGAGCTTATAGAATATTTTTGAAAATGTGTTTACTCATAAATATGCATAGTTATTTTGCAAATTTTCTTCATTGTTTCTAAAATTATCTGTTTAGTAGTTTTCCCCATCAAGAAATGAAAAGTTTCTGCAGTAGGCAATTTCTGAAAACTTATTTTTTAAAACTTAGATTTGCAAATTAAAATATTTAAATATTCCTTAAGCACTTTTTACAGAATATTTATATCTTTTGAATCTAATTTAATTTGTTACTTAATGACAAATAGAAAAGGAGTCTTGCTTTCCAATTAAGAACAAGAACTAGATTTTTGAAACAGAATCTGTCAGTAATCTGTCATTCTGTATTTAATAATCAAGTCTATAAGAACAGCAGCTGTTTACATTAGCCATTTAAGCCATGCGCTATTGGGTTTGACAGCAATCATAAAAATGGGGCTTTTTATTGAAGTTTCAGTCAATGCAGGTTGAATGATAAATATGCATCTCATCAACAGAAAGTGCATTTGCATTTTAAATTACTCAGTTATACTTATTCAGTTTTTATAAGGCATAATAAAATAAGATGCCTTTATTAAATTTAATGAGAAGAATAAAATGAAAAATATATTAATCAACTGGAGAGGAGGAAACTGTCAAACACTCAGTGGCAATAAATGCAACATATATCTTATATTACTCAAGATACAAAATTTTGTGAAGATAAATTTTTTCTTTCTTATGGTTTGTAGTATCACTTTAAGTAGTCCCATCAAGATACTTGAATATATTTAATTTTTGCTATATTCTCGCTTTTTTTTTTTTTTTTTTTAAGTATCATTATAGTAATGAAACAAAGTTTAATATTTAAAAATACTTTGTTTGTAGTTTTTATTAATAGCATGCTTATATTTAAGGTGACTAAGCATTAATATTTAAAAAAAATTTCATGTGTTACTTCCATCTGTATAGATATTTAATTATTCATAAATTAGTGTAAAGTTTAAGAGTAAAGAAAAATTAACACTAAGTAAGACTTGAAGTTTTCACATGGTATTCATTAATTGATTTTGTAGGAATAGCTTGCTATTGTAAGTAGTTTGTTTTAACTATATGATTTTATAACCTGTATCATGAATTTTTTAGATTTAATTCTTAACTAGTATTGTCATACATATTTAGTTCAGAACTGCTTCATATATTAAACTGGAATCTTACATAGAAATCAGATTCTATTTACACATGAAGCAGTTTAAAGCTAAGCAGTCAAATTAAAAAGTTTTTATTTATTTTTTATTTTTTAATGGTTGGTTAATATTTCTTTTTATAGATAAATTCCTTTTTTGAAGTCTTCAGATTGCAGTTGTTTTTTAAATTTTGTACATATTTTAAATTGCGTTTCTAACAAACACCATGATGTTAAATAAACAATAAACTGATATCACCACCAAAATTAAACATTAAAGAATGTTTTTGTTGAAAAGTTATTTTTGCATGTAGTTTGCTTTGAAATGCAGAATTATATATAAAGGAGCTTTTCAATAAGTTGATAATGTATGGATATTTTTGCTGTTGAAATAGAATCTATTTTAACATACCTCATATCTTGTAGTTTTTTTTTTCTTTTTATTTTGTCTATGGGGAGAATATAATTTGGAGAAATGATCAATCATTCTTAAAATATTACTTTTCAGTTCAATATATTTCATTTCCCTGATATTTTTCTGCAATTCCTTATGCTAATTCAAGTTTGACTTTTTTACCCAATTTCTTAATTTTCATTAATTTTTCACATTTCATATGAGTTGTAAATAGATAAAATCTCTAGTAAGTTGTAAAATCTGTAAAGTTGTTAATAGATAACAATAAAAGGCAAGTCTGATTAAAAAAATAAAAAAAATTGTTATAATACTTTCTTTACAAGAACTTGTAACATAATAATAACCAAGGAGCAACCCTAATAATATCAATATGATATTATAATTCATTATTTTTCAGAAACTTCAAATTTATTTGTTGTTTGCCCATATTAATATTATAAATTGAATTTATAAAATGGGCAACTTTTTATTCTTCCATCTTATTACCACTGCTTTTCATTTATGAAATACAACTGCTACTCAGTATATATACTACCCAGTTTTTGAGATTTTCAGCTTTTTGTGAAGATTTCTTCTCCTTTAGTCTCAATGTTAAAAATATATAGTATATGTTCGTAATTGTGGGTTGTTCATACTTTTCATAAATATTGCAGACTGAAAAAGTTAATTTTTTCAAACAAATAAATATATTTAAATGAAATGCCGTAATTTTTTAATGACTTGTTTTTACTGTAGGGAAAAAAAACAAAGTTGGTCATCTGTGGAATACTCATTTGAAACAGTAAATAATATTTATGAATATGGAAGTGAATTTTGGCCAACAATTAGAGAGGGCATTAGAGCATGGAATAGAACTGTCCAGTATTGGCTAGCATGTTTTGTATATAAGCGTCTGAAAGCACCTAAACCAGTCAAGTAAGTACATACAAAAGTGTGCATTAATTTTAAAAAGTGCATTGTAATTACAAAACTTTATTTAAAGAACCAATTGTATTTGATAAAATAATTAATTATTAAAGTGATATAGTGGCTTGACTATAAAGCAGCATCACCTGAACTGCCTATCTATAAACTATCTGTCATTTTGGGCTGCTTAACCCTGCAATGGAGGAGTCAGTGTACAGAGTATGCCAATGCCATCTTTTGGGCTGTAATTTTCAAACTACTCCTTCCCGAGCTTCCTCCCTTCCTCTACCCTCCTAGAAACATTCTATGAGTGCAATGCATCTGGTATTTCTGGTGAGTCTGGTTTTCGCTTTCCTTCCGAAAACAGTTATTGTGAACATGTCACGTAGGTGAACTCAGTACGCCGCTCCTCCAAGTATGTACCAAAAGAATATTGTACCTCCTGAAGATTATTTGCACATTTTAGAAGCGGTTGATGAAGTCTCGGTTGTTGAAGACACCGACAATTTGGATAACGCAACTGATGTCGATGAATCGGAAGTCATCGAACATTCTGGTCATGAAAGGAATTCAAAAATTGAGGGAAATGTTTCTAAACATCCTCATTTTCCTTCCTCAAATGATGTTTCCTCAACAAATGTCGATTTTAGTGATGATGAAAATGACATGAGTGATTTAAAATATGAGGGCTTTTTGTAAACACAGTTTACAAAAAGATATAAGTTGGAGGAAAGTTTCTCAAAGAAGAAAAGGAAACTTATAAATGGTATAAAGTTCCCCTCAAGATTAAATTCGCCAGAACGCCTCGAAAACATTTGATGAAAAAAATATTCCCAAGTGCCAAAACTTGTGACTATATAAATGATGAGCTTTCTGATTTCTAGAAAATCATAAATACAAATATGATTGATGCTATCGTACAATATACAAATATTTATCTCAAATGTAACAGGACTGCAGATGATCCCCCCCCCCCACCCCCCCCCCCCCCCCCCCCCCCCCCCCCCCCTCCCCCCCCCCCCCCCCCCCCCCCCCCCCCCCCCCCCCACCCCCCCCCCCCCCCACCCCCCCCCCCCCCCCCCCCCCCCCCCCCCCCCCCCCCCCCCCCCCCCCCCCCAAGCATCCCAAAGTCAAAGGTTCCCCCCCCCCCCCCCAAGCCCCCCCCCCCTTGATACATGATTCATGATACATGATTCACTGTCGCCCGAAAAACCAAGAGGTGAACAATGGCAATATTTTTTGCACTGCTAAACGTAGCGGGCTTAAATTCGCAAGTGCTCTTGAACTTTGCCAAACCTGATGCAACCATCAAGTTTAGAAGATATTTTTTTTAAAAATCTAGCTACATCTTTGATGAAACCACATCTTCAGAATTGCCTGAAAATGTCATTTCTCCTGTCGCATTTCAAAGCTATTATTAGAAAGCTGGTAACAACAAGGGAGGACAAGACGGCCGAAAGGAACGAAGAACCACCTGCAAAAAAGATCAAAGGACGCTGCGCTGAGTGCGATAGAATGAAGAATAATTACACTACTATAAAATGTTCTGAGTTTACCTGCAAAATTTATCTGGGCAAGACAGTACAACTTTGTAAACCCTACTGCAGTGAACAGGGACAATCTGAAGAGGATTAAAGTAGCAAAAGGTTTTTAATTTTTTCATTTGTGAAATTTATTGCTTACCAAACTTTATGGAATATTTATAATTTGTAAATTTGATTTATGATCTTATAATTTTCATACATAAAAGAATACATAATGCTCTATAACTTTAAATTACATTTCCAGTGCATTCCATTTTTTGAATTAATTAAAAATTCTTAATTTTCATAATTTGAAATTAATTTTTTTTCTGTTATTCTTTTTCTTATATATTTTTTACTATGATGACTTACCTTATTAATGCCACGTATAAGATTAAATAGTTTCAAACACGAAGCAGGGGCTCGAAAAACGACCTGGCGTACTTCATACGCCAGCCCCTCCAGTTGAGGGTTAATGATAATATATGTTAATTTTTATCATTTACTTCTTAATTTTAATGCGTGAAAAAATGTATTTAGTTTTACCTCAAGATCCGACATTTAAACCCTTTAATCTTCTTCTTTTTTTTTTTTAGCTAATGATTTACAAATTTTAATTAAATGAATAGTCGTTTACTAACATCAAATGCTGCTTATTAGGCATTCATTCACCTCAAAATACATATATCATTACTTTTATATATGTTACGGTGAAACACCGAAATCTGGAGAATGTCGACTTTCACCGGTGAATGTCAACATTCACATAGTCGCTTGTTGTATGTCCGAAATATTTTCCAAATACTCTTATTTCTGACTTACACCGGTAAATGTCAACATTCACCATCTACTAATGGTGAATGTTGAACACATAAGAATATTATATTTTCTCTGTAATTCGGTCACGAAAAAACGCACTTAAATTAAGAACTTAAGAATGTAAGAACTTAAAACACACTGTACATTCAAAATGCGAAAGGAAAATAATAGAAGTTTAAAACTTACAAATTACGTGATTCAAATCTTATTTATTGCAAAAACTTAAACTCTTATGACACTTTCAATTGCACAAGAGGCCCTTGCTTTTACGACAGCATTTATTTGTGGAACACTTCCTTTTGCAATGACAGCGTGTACATATACTCCTCTCTTTTCAACCTACACCAGAACACATCCGTGAGTGTCGACATACACCGGTGAGGGTCCGAATGTACAAGAATGTAATGCAATATTCGATCTTTCACCGACGTATTTGGTGAAAGTCGACATTCTCCAATTTCGGTCTTTCACGGTAACATATATAATTATAAATACATTTTTACAATATATTTAGCAATAATTTTTTTAGGAAGATTTATGATGATTTAATCTGATGGCAAAAAATATTTCATAAAATTTATATAGATCTTGAATGTTTTTAGAAAGAAAACATAATTTCAACCTAGATAATATATATAATTTACTTTAAGAAGTATCTGTCTTTGAAGAAGTATCTGTGGTATTGAAATTAAATTGCATAGGATTTTTTTTAGCATATGCTGTTTTTATTGTTTAAATGTAAAATAAAATTGATCTAAAGTGACATAACAAAACTATGTTTTTTTTTTCCCCAATTATAAATCATTTCAGCATTAATTTTCAAGCAAAAGTTTTGTGGAGCAATGCAAAAGAGAACTGGCATCCTATGAAATTTCAGTTTTCCCATTGTTTTTAAAATTTTGAATATAAAACATTTAATTATCAATTAATGAAGGCTTGTAAACTTGTTCTTTTTAGGTTTCTTTGAAAATTTGCTGCTTCTTGAAAACTTGGTTTGCTGGCGAATTCGATACAAAATGATTTTAACATTAGTCAGTTTTTTAAATCAAATAAAATTTTAATTGTCATCTTTGAAACAAAGGCTTTATTTGTTGTAAAAGAGCAAAGATAGTGGTCATCCCATGAAACTTAGTTTTGTTTTGATATAAATGAATATAATGAATATTTATTTCAATTTTTAAATGAAACTAATTGAAATTAAAATGTGCTTATAGAGATTATTTGAAATTAATGATCTACAAAATTAGAAATAAATAAATAAATAAAATAAATACAAAATTTTAAAAATATAAAATAAAATAAAATAAAATGCTTTATTAGTAACATCGGTTTAAAGATAATACTGATATAGAGTTGTAGTTATATAGAATGTTGTTGCTAACAGTATTATATAAATAAGAAGAAAAGCAGTTAAATGGACTTTTAAAAATCTAGTGTTATTGCTGCTAAGAAAATAAATTTGAAATTAATCATTAATTTTTTATTTTCGATTATTCTCTAAAAAATGAAGATTAAAAACTATTGCAAAATTAATCTTATTATAAGTTACTTATTTTGAAGAATGAGATAAAACTATGGAAAAATACTTAGTAGAAGTTTTAAATTGTAATGGAATTGAATAAAGTATAAAATCCAAGATCCGGACGTCCAACATCTGGAATGATCTAAAATCAGGACCTCAAAGGCCGCTACCAACTTTTTTGTATTATTATTATATTTTGTGTGTGTACTGTACGCATGCACATTTGATCCCCCCTCTGCTGCAGACGCATACCTCGTTATTGAAAAAACAATCACAAAAAAGGAAAAGTGAAATACAAAGCTGTAAAGCATTATTGATTTAGTACAAAAAGACACCTAGTGGACATGAATGTTTTATATGTGCATTTGTTTGTTAGCGATTTCTTATACTGTGACGTGACAAAATGATCTGAGAAAGAAAGAAACAATTAGTTATCAGAAGATACCTTTATTTTTGATGTTCAAACTTCTCTGTATCAACTGAAATGAGCATCTGGAACCTTGTTAGAACTTTATGTTGCACATGATGTAGCATAGTGGGTGACATGTTTGGACAAGCATCTGTAATATGTAGTTGAAGTTTGTGCAATGTTTGTGGACGGATCGCAGACACCTGCTGTTTGAGACATCTCCACAGGAAAAAGTCCATTAGAGTTAGGTCTGGTGAATGTGGAGGGTTTTTTTTTTTTTTAAACCTCTGTACCTGATTATTTGTTCTCTGAATTCCACCATCAGGTACTGCTTGTCTTATGCATAGGTATGCTGTCATATTGGAACCATCCATTGCGGAGTTGAAGCAATGGCAAGTTCTAAAAAAAATTGGGTGTCATATCTTGAAGTTCTAAATATCGTGCCACCATTAACATAACCTAGTAAAATATTAGGTTGAGTAGCTTGCTGTTATAAATTACACACCAAACATTAATCAAAAACCATATTTGGTGTCGAATGTCGGCAGAACATGATGGATTTTCCAGTGTCCATCAATAGGTGTTCTGCCTATTGTACATTTCTTTCTATGAAAAGTATGTGTCATCCATCCGCACTATATTTCCTAAGATTGTTGTTTGGACATCTCTCTGGTTCAAACAATGAACATAACTTATTAATTAACTTGTTTAATAAGTTATGTTCTGTATGAAGTTG